ACACACACACACACACACACACACACACACACTCAGACTAGGGGTGCAATGGCAGCCTGACCCAGCCTGTGTTGGGGGAGGGGAGGTTGACCCAGAATCAGCTAGCTGGGTTCCAAAGCTCGGTCTATCCAGAGGCTGCCTGCAAAACTCTGCGCCAGAACCCCAGTCTAGGGTCGCAAGAATCGGAGACACTGGGAGAGAAGCACAACGGCGAGGAGGGACTGGAGATCTGACGCCGCGATGCGGCGGAGCCTGTGAAGGGTCTGCTCAGCGTCTGCCCACGTCCCCGGAACCCGGGAAGGAAAGCCAGCAGAGAAAGACACGAAAGACACTGCCCCAGGCCACCTCTCCCTCCCGCTGTCACCCCACCTCCGTGGGCTCACCTGCGAGGGTGAGTGCTTCCAAGACCGAGCTGCCCCCCTCTTCACTCCAGCGGCTGCAGTCTACCCACGTCCCGCTGCCCACGCTCACCGCTCCAACCCGAGCCTAGATCCCCTCTCCTCTCCCCCTCACCTTTCTCCGCGATCTTCCTTTTCTTCCCTCCTTTCTCCTCTTCCTGGTGTCGCTCCGCCCCGCACCTCTGCGTGCCACTAGCTCAAGTGCAGCCCGCCCCCACTTGCTTTCTCTTTCTTAGTTGGCGACACTGGAAGGGAGAATCCAGCACGTTCTAGAAGCCCCACTTCCCAGTCTCTTCCTGACATCTAGTAGGCCCACCTCGTTGTCTTTCACGTGACTCAGTCCTCAGGACAAAAACACTCGACTGTCTGAACCCCCTCTGTGGGCCGGACTAAGCCTACACATCTCAGCAATGCTATTGATAGCCTGTAGGGTCCCTAAACCGAGGAAATCAATTGCAGCCCACCTTGGTTCCTTAGCTTTCCCTTGCCAAGCTTTCCCCCTCCCAACCGCTGGTGGGAAGGTAGTGTGTGTGTGTGTGTTTGTGTGTGTGTGTGTGTGTTAGTTAGTATAGAGGTGTACTTTCCCTTGCCAAGCTTTCCCCCTCCCAACCGCTGGTGGGAAGGTAGTGTGTGTGTGTGTTTGTGTGTGTGTGTGTTAGTTAGTATAGAGGTGTGGTACTTTAAGCTTCAACAGACATTTCAGCTAGTCGTGGCTTTTGCCTAAAGGGGTGACTTAAAACCCCACTCCTGAAGGTGCCATACAGGGCACTTAGACTCATAAACTCACTGCTTTTGTTTTTGGATTTATTTTTCTTATTTTTATCTATGTGCGTTGGGGATGGTGTATGGGGGTAAGTACAGTGTATACAGAGGTCAGAAGAAGGAATCAGATGCCCTGGAACTGAAGTTACAGATGCTTGTGAGTTGCTATGTGGGTGCTGAGAACCCAACCTGGTCCCCCCCCTGCAAGAGCAGCAACTGCTCTTAAACACTGACTCATCTCTTCAGCCGTTGGCCTGGCATTTTCTGCCCATGTTTCCTGGCCTCCCGCCTGGCTAAAGCAGACACTCTTCTGTCTATCTGGACAAAGCTGTTTCCTCTCACAGCACTTGTTACAGTTACTGTCTACTGAAAAAAACAAAACAAACAAAAACACAGGTACTACAGCAAGAGGACATCGTCTCCACTTGCTTTTAGTTGACATTAAAAATCCCCATTTTTGGAAGGTCACGAAGCTTAGCAATGTGTACCTTGGCCTTCTGGATCCAATGTCTGCTCATCTCTACATGTTAATCATTTAGGGATTGTTTCTCTGAAATTGGCAATACAAGATTGACTACACCTCCACCTCCCCTCTCCCACCATCCAGGACTGGAGATGGCTCAGTGGTTATGAGCACTGCTCTTACAGAGGGCTAGAGCTAGGCTGGAAACAGCATGCAACTCCGTAGCAAGGAATATAACTCTTCCCTCTGGTCTCTATGGGCAGAAGTGAGCACTCACACATACATAAACATAAATAAACTACTCTTTTTAAAAAGATACTGTTGCCTTCCCTCCCCAGTAGGGAGTGGCAGACTGAGACCCACCCTCTCACAACTCAGCGGCTTCTCTCTCCCTGCAGGGTTTCATTTTCTCTTGACCCAATTTTACTCTCAAACTAAAGGGGCTACAGGCCAGCTAATGTTATATTCTGTTACCAGAAGTCAGAAATAAACCTCTGTGGTTCTGTGGTCTTCAGGGTTGAGCTTTCTAATTGCTCTTGTGATGTAGATGAACTCCCCCCACCCCCTCCCACACCTCACACAAACCCTAAGTGGCATTTACCCTCTACCATCTTGGTGCAGGGAGTGTGGGACCACTTCCCACCAGAATGTTCCAGTAAATTGCTTTAAATAGCTAGACATTGCCCTATGCAACACATGTGGCATGAGTTCCTTACATGATACTTGGTTGACTGCTCTGTTGCATCCATGTGCAAGCATGATCAGAGTCACAAGACATGGGCCAGCTCCACAAAGGAGTCACCTTTAATGAAGAATTAGAATAAAACAACACAGACTTGGCCCTACAAGCCCAACACACAGAGTAGAGTCCGTTAGACTTGACTTTATAGCATCATGCAGGGACTGAGGATCATGGCTACAACGCTGATTCTCGGTGGTTAGTTTAGAATGTGCTAAGTCAGGCTCCACTGTGTGAATTGTTTCTGTAGTCCCCTGTTGTTCCCAGGCAACATCCAGATTCATTAGCCGGGCTGGTATGTATGATTCAGCCCTCAGGCCCTCTGAGGGAGTGGCTGAATGGTTGGTGTTCAGCTTCTTTTTGTTCAGCCTGGGCCAACCTTGACCTTCTTCTCTCCTCCTCTTTCACTTAAGGCTCAGCTCTGAGGTCACCTCTTGGAAAACCTACCTACTTCAAGTGTAATTTAAGATACACAGTGGTGTCATGACCAACAGTCCTCACCACTAGCTTTTCCAATAGCCTGTTCTAGACTACTTTAGAGGTGCCTAGACTTCTTTAGTCATCAGTCCTTTCCTCCTAAGCCCTTCTTCCCAACCTAGGCATTCTGCAAAGGATGCCTGTCAGCTCCTCCTCCTAACATGTAACATGTATATCATTTCTAGTAAGCATAACACTCATCACATTTCAAACACTGTGTGCCAGGTACTTAGATTGTAGTGGTGCACATCTTTAATTCAGCACTCAGAAGATAGAGGTGGGTGGATCTCTCTGAGGCCAGCCTGTTCTACAGAGTGAGTTCCAGGATAGCCAGAGCTACATAATAGGGAGCCTATTTCAGAGAGAGAGAGAGAGAGAGAGAGAGAGAGAGAGAGAGAGATTGACTTAGATCATGGTTTTAGAGACTGAAAACTTGCTTGAGCCGGGGCAGCTCCATTGCTTTAGTCTCTTGTAAGAGTTTAGTGGAGAGTGGGGCATCAAGATGGTGAGACACAAAACCAGAGGTGAGCTCGGGAGCTAGATTTGGGATTTTATAACAACTTGCTCATAGGAACTTTGAAAACAGCCTTAATACTGTTCAAGAATGGCCCTGTCTCCCAGCACTGTCACTCTGAGGAAGGGACACACAAACCTTGGGGGTGGGGTGGAGATTTTCCTCAAGTCATATCCCAAGCCATGGAGGTATCTACTAGCCCCTTGTTATCTTTTAACTGAATCCTACTGCAGTCCTGTGAGAGGGGACAATAACCCAGTAATACAGCCAGGAAGTGGCAGAACTACAAGCCCAGAGTTCCTTGCTTCTGAACACCACCACCTGCTCATCCTCTAATGTCCTCACAGGCAGAATCAGCAATGTCACTCACTCCCTCTTGACGTGAGCTCCTTGGGGGCTGCTCCAGCCAGCAAGTGGCATATGAATGAACTCATGAATGACACAGGTGACATTGGACTTAATGAGGCACATGAGAGACAGATAATGCACTGTTACTAACAGAAATTTTTCTTCTTTTCTTTAGCTCTATAGACAAGGAAACCTCAGACTCTCTGAGATCCACCTGCCTCTGCCTCCCAAGTACTGGGATTAAAGATGTGTGCCACCATCTCCTGGCATTTTCTTGAGGCAGGATCTCATGTAGCCAGCCCAAAGCTGGCTTCAAACTTACTGTGTAGCCAAAGATGACTTTGAACTCCTGATTCTCCTGCCTCCACTCCCCCAACTGCTGAGGTTAGAGGCACAGATTACCATAACCTTTCATGGAGATTGAACCCAGAGCTTGGCACATGCTAGGCAAATGCTCTACCAACCGAGCTAGCACTTCAGCCTCTTCCTCTCTCAACAATATAGTTACAGAGCCTTAAAAAACACACCTAGAAATATGCACTGGTACCTTAACTTCATGATTAAGTAAATGGAGCACCTATAAGACAAGCATTATGAGCAGGGTCATACCTGAGGGGTGACAAGACTTTGGCCTCAGTGATTTGGTTTTTAATCTGCACCATGTGCTTTGTGTCCGCACCGCATAGCAGCTCATGAGGCTAAGACAGGCTGGCACATAGTGAAAGGTGTGTACAGAGAATTTAGCAGCAAAGGGTGGAAAGGAACCCAGCAGTGCCCTGCCCTATAGCTTGCTGAATAGATTACAGCAAAATGCAGGTGGGGGCCAGAAGATAGGTAAAAGTGCTTGCCCCAGGCCTATCTACCTGAGTTTGATCCCTGGAAACCACGTGGTGGAAGGAAGGGCTGACATTGCAAGCTGTCCCCTGATCTGTGTGCACATGATATGTAAGCCCCTCCCCTAATAAATAAATGTTAAATGTGGTGAGCAAGTCTAATGGATCCTCCACTTGTGGCATCCGCACCATGACTAAGTCTGTAGAGAAAGCCTGGAGATTTAGTTAAAAGCAGAGCCGTTCAGTCACTTGTGCTAAGAGAATGTGTGTGCGTGTCTGTCTTTTGTTACAGGGGGAGAGAAGCCTTATAAACACTTACAGCACAGTGGAAAAACCCCATGTGTAAGAGCCCGTTTTCCTCATACTAGATGTTGATGCCAGTGGAGAAAGATCGGGACTGTAAGCCAGGACTAGAGAACAGAATGCATCTGTGGTTATCAACCCATGGAGACCCCGTGGGGGCTGGGGCCCAACACTTCTCCCAACAGTTAAAAACAAAAGTTTAAAAATGCAAGTGAAAATAAACAGGGCAGGGACTTTCTGAATCGCCTCTTTCCTCTCTATAAAGGGGTTCTGGCTGGCTCCTGTTTAGGTAGTTTTTAGGTGTGTGTGTATGCAAGGTATCTTGGGCATCCATTAAGTGGTAGAGGCAGCCTTCATCCTGCCATGGTTTTCCCTGCCCAGCACTCCATTTGCCATCTGCCCAGTTCTCCAAGAAGTTCTGTAAATCATAGGACCTCATGAGGAATAAGTAACACCAAGTTTCTCACAGGTAGAGCAACCCATTTCTGTGAGGTGTCCCATGGAGCTGGACTTGGGGTCTGTTCTCCCCAACGGACTGGCCTGGCTGCCAGCCCAGACCTATTGCCAGCACTGAGCCCGACTTTGGAGCCATCCACAGGGCTGGCTCCAAAGTGTGAGCAGCATCTGGATTTGATGTGCTAACTTCCAGCAAAAGACAAAGCAGGCTCCCAAAGAACATAATTTTGGCTCAAATGGGGCATGTCTGTAATACGAAGATGAGTGTATGTCGACTTACTCTTGTGCCGAGTCATTGTTTCCTTCACTTTACTTCCAAAAGCCTAAAAACAAATGGCTTTAATATTCTAAAGCTGTTTTTCTTGGTCTGTGATATGCAAAAGCCAAAGTGCTCCAAATCGCTCCTGGGATGGCAGATAGTGTACATGGTCCAGTAGAGGCGGTAACACGGCCTAGCAGGTTTCTACCTCATCTTGCCTGCACACTATCATCTTTATGTCCTGCTGTCTGTCCCAAGCCTCATCCTAGAGCTGCCTTCCTACGCTTGGGTTCAGGTCAGAAGAAAGGGATTTGATTTCCTGGTGATGATTGAAAGATTCAGGCTTTAATGCTGATCGGCTCTACCTCTTTAAGAGACAGACCCCACCCCCGACAACAGTCAGTACAAGCACAGGGCACAGGGACGTGCCATCACCACATCACCCACCACGCATTTACAGCCTGCGTGAGGACTCTGGACATTCGTGGAACCTCAGTGCACATGCGCAGTCTTCCCTTTAAAAGTTCCAATTTCCCTGCTTTGCTCTCTCTCTGCTTCTTCTTCGCTCTCTCTCTCCTCTTCTCCTCTCTCTGTCTGCTTCTGCTTCTCTCTCTCTCTATGGCGACCGGCCATGGCGGTCAGCCATTAACTCTATTTCTCTTCTCTCTTAGTCTCCCTACTCTGTCGGGCCTATAATAAAATGGTTAATATGTCTCATCTTGTACCTCCTCTTTTTCTTTATATCTAATTTAAACAAAAACATAACAATGATTCCTTACAGTAGAGTGCAAAGGCAAACCTTGGACTGAAATCTCCCCAGGCATAAGTCCAAGTTAAATAACAGCTTTAGGAACCTCATTATCAAAGATTGGTGGTGGTGGTGGGAGACCTGCTTTTACTTTAAAAATATTAAAAACAATTTTTATTTATTATCATGTGTGTGCTATGGTATGTATATGTGGTTGTGGTGGTGGTGGTGGTGTGTGTGTGTGTATGTGTGTGTGTGTGTGTGTTTGTGTGTGCATGCACCAAGGTATATGTGTGTGCCACGGTGTGTGTGTGTGTGTGTGTGTGTGTGTGTAGCTCAGAGGACAACTTCCAGAAGATGGATTTTTTTCCTTCCATCTTGTTTTTGAGGCAGGGTCTCTCTCATTTCCAGGTTGGATGGCTCTCAAACTTCTAGCAGACTGACCTCCCATACCCCTGTAGGAGTGCTGAGATAGGAAGCCCATCACTACATCTGGCCGTGTTACATGGTTCTGGGGCTTGAACTCAGGTCATGAGGCAAGCACTTTTGCCTGCTGAGTCATCTACCTAGTCACAGACTTGCATTTAGAAGGAATTTTCTAGAATCTTTTGTTACCCTAACCAGTCCTCTGTGACCCCATCCTGATTCTTTCTCTTTGGGTATTATGGAAATGTCTGTCATTCCTCCTCATTGCCTCTACCAAAACAAAAAACAAAAAAACAAAAACAAAAACAAAAACAAAAAAACAAAACTGGGGGGGGCGTTGTTGTGTTTCAAGACAGGGTTTCTTTGTGTGGACTTGACTGTCCTAGAACTCGATTTGTAGACCACACTGACCTCAAACTCAGAGATTTACCTGTCTCTCCTGAGTGCTGGGATTAAAGGGGCGCTCCACTACGGCCTAAAAAATGAGCCTCCACCAATTTTTTAAGATTGAATTTCTGGGTGGGTTCTCTGAACTTGTCATTTCCTTTAGAGACATAAAACCACTGCCTTCCTTAACATCTTAATGAGCAGAAATCCCCCAGCTGTAATGTACCCACAGTCCTAGCATGGTAGGGACTGAGAATATTTAATCCATAGGATGCTGGGAGGGTATTTTGGTTGCTGAGTCCACTTCAATAATGCCATGGGAACATTTTGTATTTGGCTATGTTGAATAAGGGCTTTCTCTGCAGGACCATATCCTGAGTATCTATGGCACACTCAAGTCTTTGAAGATTCAAAAGTCTTTCATGACTGCGATTTAGGAACAAGTCGGACTGATGATTCATGGGTCTTGTATTGCTGGTTGCCGGGGCAACTAAGCCCTGCTTTGATATACTTCAACTACAGCTAGACTGGGTTCTCCAATCAGAGCTCGTGTCATGAAGTCCCACCTTATGTCACAAAGCCTTGAAGACAAAAACAGAAATTTAGCTTTGCATAGTGGAGTCTGCTTCATGAAGCTCTCTCCTACCATGGCCCCCAGTCCTCTTGGGGTGGAATGCATTGCAGCTGTTATTTTTGGCCTAGTCTCAGATACTTGTTATTCATACAGGGGTTACTCAAATGAGCTAGCTCCAGAGATGACTGAAGAATGTCCCTTAGTCATCAGTTGCTATTTGTTCTTGTTTCTAACCTCCACAGGCTTTTTTCTCCTAGGCTGCTTTCCTGGTTTGCAGATTTGATCGAATGATTGATCTTTCCCAGAACCCCAATAGTTCATCCTTGACTTCTCTTAATGCTCTTTTATAATAAGTGGGGATCACTGACTGACACCCACCACTGAATCTGGCCATTTTACATGGGTTCTGGGGGTTGAACTCAGGTTGTTCACAATAGACGTCCCTTCCTTCCTTCCTTCTGTGTTTATATGTTCATGTGTATACACTCATGCAGGTGGGTGTGCACTTACATGCATGTACATGTAGAAGGGGTCAGAGATCAATGTCAGATGTTTTCCTCAATAGATCACACACAAATACAGATCTCTCTCTCTCTCTCTCTCTCTCTCTCTCTCTCTCTCTCACACACACACACACACACACACACACACACACACACCTGAGTCGTAATCCCTTATCTAGATATACCCAGTTTATTTATCCCTCATCTGCTTGCTGAAGAATATAATTGCTTCTAGCTTGGGGTAATTCTAAGTAAAGGTATTAAAAATATCTTTGTAGTTCTGATATGGTTATAAGTTTTCACTTTCTTTGGGTAAACACAAAGGATTAAGACTTGGGGATCTGTTGAGCTTTGAGAGAAAGACAGAGTTACACCGGTGATGCAGAGTTCCTTCCCAGACATATCTTTGGCAGCATTTGATGCTGTCAGTGTTTTGAGTTTTGGCTTCCTAATGTGTCCACTAGCATCTCATTGTTTTAGTTTTTGACTCCCTGAAAACACAGGAGGCAGAACATTGCTTCACACAATTATTTTCCATCTGTTTGCGTTCTTCTGTGAGCTGTCTAGTCAAGACTTTGGTCCTTTTGATCTTTTTTGGGGCGTGGGGGGCGGTTCAAGACAGGGCTTCTCTGTGGCTATGGAGGCTGTCCTGGAACTAGCTCTTGTAGGCCAGGCTTGTCTCAAACTCACAGAGATCGGCCTGCCTCTGCCTCCTGAGTGCTGGGATTAAAGCTGTGGGCCACCAACGCCCAGCCCCTTTTGATCTTTTTAAAGGATATGAGAGATGGAACCCAGGGCCTTACATGTGCTGAGAAAGCCCCAAAGCGTGGAACATTCAGCCCCAACTTGGTCCTTGGTTTTTCAAGACAAGGTTTCTTTGTGTAACCATGGCTGTCCTGGAACTCACTCTGTAGTCCAAGCTGGCCTTGAACTCATAGAGACCTGCTTGCCTCTGCCTCTGGAGTGCTGGGATTAAAGGCATGTGCCCCTGAGTTTTTGGTCTTTCTTTTTTGTTTGTTTTGTTTTTTGCTTTTTTTTTTTTTTTTTTTTTTTTTTTTTTTTTTTTTTTTTTTTTTTTTTTTTTTTTTTTTTTTTTTTGAGACACTGTCTCATTATGTAGCTCTGTCTGGCCTGGAACTCTCTTTGTAGCCCAGGCTGGTCCCAGTTCACAGAGATCTTCCTGCCTTTGCCTTCTGGATGCTGTGATTAAAGTATGTATCCCCCATGTCTGACTCTTGGTAAACTTTTTAAAAATCATTCTCCTTTATCAGATGTGCCTTGCAAATATTTTCTTCCTATTTGTATCCTGTCAGTTCATTCTCTTGATAGTATCTTTGTAGAAGAGGTGTTTCTAGTTTCAACAAAGCCCATTTCATCAGTTCCTTTACAGATTAATTGTGCCCTGTAGATGTAGCTGTGTTTTCTTTTTCTATTAGGCATAAAAAGCCTCCCTGAAAGGTGGATAATGAAGTGCAGACAACCACATGGCCAAGCCAAGAGGCAAACCTTGGAGGTGAGGCTTTCCATGGGACACTCTTGGGCCCTCAGTTGACTACCATCATAGAAACAGTGACTTTTTCATAGGAAAAGAACTAAAGACTGGAGCTGGGGGATGGCTTAGCAGTTCAGAGTAATTACTGCTCTTCCAGAGGAAGTTCTGATCCTAGCATCTACATTAGGTAGTCCCAGCTGCTTGTAACTCCAGATCCAAGGGTTGAGCAGTCATCCCAGGGTACTTTCAGGGACATGGGCGCGCGCGCGCCGCCCCCCCACACACACACACACACACACACACACACACACACACACAAATAAATCCAATCTTAAAAAAAAAAGAATTAAGTGATAGCCACCTGATGCAATCCACTGTCTCCATTTGACCCTAACTTCCCTGGTTTAAATAGTTATAATATTTTGGGGACAATGATGCACAGTGGAATATGGCTTGAGTCATTAATGCTATAAAACTCATTTTAATGATCATGGCTCTTTAGGCATGGTAGTATTTATTTTTATTATGTAGATTATACCTTTTTAATTGCATAATTATTTCGGAATGAAGGTAATGACATTTTCAATTTCTTTCTAAGAACACCGGCATTGAAACCAAAGAGAATAAATGTAAAACCCAAAGTGGTGATGACTGCTGTAATCTCAGCACTTGGGAAACCATGGCAGAACAGTCATAAATTCTAGGCTACCTTTGGCTGCATAGTGAGATGCTATCTCAAGGAAAAAAAATGGAAGAACTGAATTTCAGATTACATTAGATACTTATTGATTAACCCAGGTAACCCAAAAGACTGCTTTCCTAGGGGCTGGGAGATGGCTCAGAGGTCAAGAGCACATACTGTTCCTGCTGAAGACCCAATTTTAGTTCCCAGCACCCAGGTCAAGCAGCTCATAGTTACAGGTCAGAGGGGAAGAGACAGTGCTGGGACATAGAAAGTGCTTGGGATCTGGATTCTGCCATTCATTTTACTGGGGGTTCTTAGATGACGTGTTCTATCTGTCCCTCAATTTCTTCAACTGTGTAATATCACATGGAATAATCATCAGGATACATGAGTTACTACGTATAAGCCCATTGACACAGTTCGTGGCAGGTGGTGATAACTGTCAGCTGGAATCATTGTCAAGGTTCTTGTTACTTAAATGTATGATTCTAGCCTGTGCTCAGTTGACATAGATAGATACAATCCCTGTGGCTTTCTGGGTTTTCTTGGGAGTTGATAGTAGCCAGGGGAGTGCCCTGTGCCTTGGGATTCAGTGTTGAGACCTGCTCCAAGTTAGGTTTTAGGGCAGGGTGAACAGCAGTGATGTCCAACAACATTTTCTCTGATTGGTGTAGCTTTTGGGTCAGTGTCCCATTAAAAACTCCAAGTATTTGAAGACAACATTCAGTTTAGAGACTTCAGATGTCATTTCATTACTATGAACACTGAGCTGGAATTCACCTCCTTAGAAAAGTTAATGTAAGAAATTTTATACATAAAGCCTTAAATCTGACATATGGTAATTTAGGACTACAGTTTATTATTGTCTCCAGCAAAATGGAAAATAGATAGAATTTTGTGACTATGGCTACTGAGTTAAGCTGGAGAAGTGTTGCATGTTTTGGAGATTGACAGCTCTGGGACACATCCCTGTGTTGTTTATAAGCTCAGTAACCTCTTTTGTTGTGCGGGGGAGGGTTGATTCAGGGTTTCTCTGTGTAACAGCTCTGGCTTTCCTGGAACTCACTCTGTAGATCAGGCCGGCCCTGCACTCATAGGGATCCACCTGCTACTGCCTCCTGAGTGTTGGGATTAAAGGTGTGGGCCACCACTGCCCGACTAAGGGCATTTTTTATTTTGCATCATATTTAGTCATATATTGTGTTGGGCTGGAGGACACTTTCACACAAGTATAATGTGTGCTCTGAGGATAGCCTCCACTCCCTTACTCTATCCTTTGTTCTCCCTCCTCCCTCTTGTCAGTCTCCTTCATTCCCCTAGACAGATTTTCTTGAATTTTCATGTCATGTACATATATGATTTGATGGGTCTTTAAATACATAAAATACAGGAAGCACAAATGAAAGAAACCATGTGTCTGTCTTTCAGAGACTGACTTTGTTCACTTAATAAGATCATGTCCATTTACATCTACTTTTCTACAAATGATGACTTTGTTCTTTATAGATGACAAAAACTCCATTTTGTTGTGTTTTGACAGGGTCTGTAGCCCAGGCTTGCCTTCAATTCACTTTAGCCAAGGATGACCCTGAGCTCATGATCCCCCTGCTCTCCTTCCCAATTACTGGTATTACAAGCTTGTGCTGCCACCCCCAGCATATATGTGCCCCATTTTCTTTGTTGATTCCTCTGTTGGTGGACAGTTGGTTAGTTCTATGAGTTATCTATTGTGCATAGTGCTGTAGTAAGCACTGTGCAGGTGTCTCTGTGGTATTTTTACTTGAAGTCCTTTAGGTAAATATCCAAGTTTGCATATCTGGGTCATATGGTAAGTGTGCTTTTAGTTTTTTGAGGAACCTCAATGCTGATTTCCATCATGGCTGGACTAATTTACATTCTCACCAGCAGGATGTAAAGGTTTGTCCATATCCTCACTTTTTGTTATTTGTTTTCTTAATGCTCCAGATGGCTTCATTTTTCATGTTCCATGATGGGATAAGATGGAACGAGAACTTGATTTGTGACTGATTCTTTGGCCACCAGCACTTCCTGGGGACAATAAGATGTTGGGCTCAGGTCTAGCTAGATAAGAGGATATTGAAATGAGCAAAGCACCAACACCATGCTGTGGACATTATGAAATGGATACACTGAGGTGGGGAGCAGTCAGAACTAGAAACTTCTAAGATTAGGCATGTTCTAGCCCATCTGCTGTGAGGGTTGCCCTCAGTCAGGTTTGTTTTTCTACAAAGAAAAAGGTCTCCAAACAGATCGTGGGTCCCCAAGGAGTTGAAATTTTGACTCTAAATCTGGGATTTCCCAGAATCCGGGGGAAGGACATTGTCTCTGAAGAAACTATTTACTTAAAACAAACAAAACATAGGCAAACACATGGTAGGGAGGGGTGCGCACACACACACACACAGCGCGAGAGAGAGAGAGAGAACCGCCCCAGCCACACACACACACAGCGCGAGAGAGAGAGAGAGAACCGCCCCAGCCACACACACACACAGCGCGAGAGAGAGAGAGAGAACCGCCCCAGCCACACACACACACAGCGCGAGAGAGAGAGAGAGAACCGCCCCAGCCACACACACACACAGCGCGAGAGAGAGAGAGAGAGAGAGAGAGAGAGAGAGAAGCAGACAGACAGAATTTTCCCCATATCTTTTCAAAGCATAATCCAACCTAGGCAAAATTTATAAACAAGAACTTAATTTTCACAATTTAGGCTTGTGCAACCCACTGAACTGCAATTTCTTTTGCTCCTATAGGTACCACAGCAAGCTCCATTCATCCCACTGAAAAGAACACCCAGAACCACTTCATAATAAAATGACCTTCACGCTGCTGGTGTCTGCAGTTCACAGGCTTGACTTTCAGTCCCTTAGCAACCAATCTGCCCTCTTTTGTCCACAGCATCTCTACAATGGCCTGACCTACTTGGGGAACCCAAGGGAACACATAGAAGCACATGAGGTAATAATGCAGGATTAAAAACAAAACAACAACAACAAAAAAACAGTGCTCAGAAGGTTTGAGCTATGTATAAATGTATAAATCTGTAGCTTGCATTTATATAGAAATTTATCAGGCCTGTCCTGGAAGTGTATGTGTCTAATACTAGCACTCTTGAGGCTGAAGCAGGAGGATCACAAGTTCAAGTACAGCCCAAGCCTCATAGGAACATCCTGTCTCAACAAAGCAAAACAAAACAAGATGGGAACCTACCCCCAATTCCTGGTTCAGGATTGTCCATTGTTATTCAATTAAATAAGTAGTTCTCAGTAAGGAATTTTGACAATTGACATTTCCCTAGACAGTGTTGGTACTTACCCGTTCTCAGTAAGGAATTTTGACAATTGACATTTCCCTAGACAGTGTTGGTCTAGGGAAACTTTCTGTGACTTAAGACATAGTACTAGCTTTTCATAATTAAACACCATTGAGATAAACAATAAATAGAATAAACATGGCCATTGAAAATAAAAATAATTTCCATGACTATGCTGCACATTAGTACTGAGTAAGTTCTTTATTTTAATCTCCAAACCCAATGATTCTGGATACGTGAGGTTTGGGATTGCACTCATGACTTCAATCATTATCTGAGAAAAGGCTGTAATATGACTCATGGCAATGCAGGATTTATGAAAAAGTGCCAGGATGTTTGAGCTATTTATACATTACACAAACATCATTAGGATGCCATGGTTCCTATTTATATAGAAAACTTGCAGGTGAGATGTGATGTTTTGCATGTTCAATCCCAGCTCCTAAGTGGCAGGAGGAGCCTGGGTTCAAGGATAGCCTGTGCTACATAAGGGAGAGCCTGTCTTAATGAATGTAAAATGAAAGACAGGAAGAATGATCTAAATTTACAAGAAAAAAAGGCTAATTCTCATCAGCTGGAGCACCTTAGCCAGCATGTGCCCATTGACTTATGTGGGGTCTCTGTGACCACCAGGGTCAGCAGAATAATGATCCACATGAAACAAGAAGGAAATCTGATTCAACATGACTCAATAGTTGGTGTTGGTTCAACCTTACAGAGTCTGACACTGGGCAGTTTATTGTAAGCATCTTTATGTGCTGTACAATTTGGGGGAAAGTTTCCCAGTGTAACACAATCTCCTGTGCACAAGGAGGTGAAATTTTATCGAAACTCTTCTCAAAGTACATGTCACTTCTTCCATGAAGATGGGATCTAGAGGTAGGCTACCTGTGTTATCTTTTTTTTTTTTTTTTTTTTTTTTTTTTTTTTGAGACTGGGTTTCTACCTGTGTTATCATAAGGGCCTAGGGGAGGACCTGATATGTGATATGGTCTCAGTCATACAGATAGGTCACTTGGGCTATTAGCGGCCCTCTGGTCCAGGTTGTGGGAGCTTAGGATAGCCCCTGGCTACACAGATAATGCAAAGGTCACCTAGACTATTAGCCACCTCCAGTCCTGCTTGATAGGGCCTGGTCTTACGAAGGATCACCTGAGCTTTTAGCCACCTCCCTTCCCAGCCACCTGGGTGGAAAACAGGCTATGCATCCTTTTCCTTTGAAAAGACAACTCTGCGTGTTCAACATTCCTGGTTCCCATAGTGTTGTCTGTGAGCTCAAGGGCCTTGGTGTCCCCATCAGACTTAACTGATGGGGCATTTCACTGGGGGCAGCAAAGCACAAAGGGCACACTGATGGTGATGAAGCTGTCCTTCTACATCGCCTAGAAATAACTTCTGCCTTCTTGCACACCTTGTTTCCTTTCTCACCCTTGCAGTCTTGGATGTGCCTTTACTTATTGTTGACGTCAGTAAGGGTTTATTTGCCGTCCTTTCCTGGCACTAGAAGCAGCTTGACGCAAGCTAAAAGTAACGTAATTCATGAAGGCTCATGAAGTGAGAAAACAGTGGCTCCAATTCTGGTACTTGCTTGGGTCCTAGAAATAGCAGCAGAGCAGTGTGGCCGGAGAAGAGACTCCACAGAACTGGCTGGTAGAGCCGGGTTAGAGACTTAGGCTTCCTGAGAGGCAGAGTCCATGACAGGAATTCAGACATGTGTGGCTCATTGAACCTGTGCTCCCAAGTGAGAGTAGAGAAAACAGATGACAGTGATAGAGGGGGCAAAATAAGGCTATAGCCTGGTTCCTGGGGGCCTCTGAAGAATTATATCACAAAGTACTCTCTTTTGGATTTTTTCAAGCCAGGGTTTCTCTGTAGCTTTGGAGCCTATGCTGGAACTTGCTCTGTAGACCAGGCTGGCCTGGAACTCACAGAGATCTGCTTGCTTCTGCTTCCTAAGTGCTGGGTTCAAAGGTGAGCACCACCTCCGCCCAGCTCACAAAATATTCTTACACCAGCTGATTGTCTGCAGGGGGATACCAGAGAAGATAGCTCTCATTTGCCAATATAGTTCCTGAGAGACAGGACAGCTTCGAGTTGCTAATAACAGCTGATTTGGCACACTAGGATCTAGACAGAACACAAGTGTCTATTACAGGAGAACAGGAGACAGAGTAACTTCTTTTGGGGGACTCATAGACATATGTTGCAGTTGCAAAAAGATTGGAAGTTGAACACAGTAAGTGCATCTGGCTGCATGCCAGGTGAGAATCCCAGCCATCTTCAGTTATTTGCTTATGCTTCTGAAAAGTGGTGCAGAAAAATCACCCAGTGTGGTGGCTTGCGGACAGGACAGATTCCTGGTGTTTTGTGATGTCATGAACCTGTAGAGACCGGGGAGAGACTGTTATGCTCTGAGTGTGATGTGTTTGAACACCTTAGGCTGATGTGTTTAAACACTTGGTCCCCCTCTGGGCATGCAGTTTTGGATGCTGTGGAATCTTTAGGCAGTGGAGTCTACCTGAGAGAGTGGATCCTTGAAGAGTCAACCTTGAAGGTTACAGCCTGGCCCTGCTTCCTGTCGCATTTCTGTTTACTGATACATCCAGATGTGAGCTGGCTCTGCTGCCACAGGCCCCTCCTGCCATTATGCCTTCCCACCATGATGAACTGTTCCCTTCAACTGGGAACCAAAAAGACTTTACTCCCTTAAGTTGCTTTAGCCAGACACTTTATTAGAGTGACGAGAAGAGCAGCTAATGCCGTTAATAATTCGATACTTCTCCAAATTTTTCCTCCTTCCCTTCCTTTATTTCATTCTTTATCATTAGTGGTGGAGAGTAAGGTCTTGCCACCTTGCCCAAGTTGTCCGTGAACTCATAATTCTCTCACCACAACTTCCTGAGTGCTGATAATAGTTAGAGGCATGCATCTGACTCCTTCATCTTTTATAATGTAAGCAGAATTAAACTTACATTTTACCTTATTTATTTATTGTGTGTCTGTGTGTGCACGCATGCTTGTGCATCTGCATATATGTGCTACAGTGTGCATGTAGAAGCCAAGGGACACCCGCTGGGAATTGGTTCTCTCCTACCATGTGAGTGATAATACCATTCAGGTTGTCAGGCTTGGTGGTAAGTGTCTTCACCCAATAAGCCATTATTTTCAGACCTAAAGTTTCTGCTTATTTTGAGTAGGTTCTAGATTGATCTGACATAAAATCAAACATAAAGGCATTGAGATGAATACTCCCAGCCTTACCCACCATGCCCTGTCATCTTCCCCCAGGTCTTAGTGTCTGTTCTGTTTCTGTGAAAAGACATCGAGATCAAGGCAACTTATAAAGGAAAGCATTTGATTGGGGGCTTGCTTACAGTTTCAGAGGGCGAGTCCATGCCCTTCTCAGGAAGTGCGGAGGCAGGCAGACAGGCACTGGAGCAGTAGCTGAGAGCTTACATCCTGATCCACAGGCAGCAGACAGAGAGAGGGGCCCCTGCCTGATGCCAGCTTTTGAAACTCCAAAGCCCACCCCCAGTAACATATCTCCTCCAACAAGGCCACACCTCCTAATCCTTCCTAAACAGCCCACCACCTGGGGGCCAAACATTCAAATATATGAACCTGTGGAAGCCATTCTTATTCAAACCAGTACATCTCATAATAGTTTCTTCTTTACTTTCAAAGTTTATGGCTATCTGAGCAAAATGAAATCTATCTAACAACCTTCCTCCATGTACAAAACCTAGCAAACTGTGAATACTGGTCTGCCAGTCTTTCTCCCTCCCTCCCCGTTCTCCCTTCCTCCCTCCTCTCCTTGCTCCTTCCTTCCTTTTCTTTCTTTCCTCCATCCATTCCTTCTCATCTTCCTCCCTCTCCCCCATTTTACCAACTTTCTTGTTCAGCAGCTTCTTCCCCTGTGTACATGAAGAACTTCCTTGGTTGATCACTGTTTCTTCATTTCACCCAGTTCTCTCTTCCATAAGGACCTCAGTTACCCAGGTCCCCACAGACCACTGTGAAGGCTTCCCCACTCAGTTTTTGCTCATGCTACAATGCCTGCTTTTGCACACACAGAGTTTTGCACAGCTAGAGAAATGTACAAGCCCTACAGTTGGTAAGTAGAGAGGCCAAAATACTTCCCAGTGAGATTTGTGCCTGAATGATGACTCACAGTTGCAGAGCGATGGCAGAGTTCTCTTCGAAGCCATGCTCTGTAAGCAGTTGTCCATCTCTGTGGGAAAGCTGGTCCCTGCCACAGGTAAAGATGTGAGGAAGCAGTTGGGGGTACCTTCCTGCCTCCCTACAACTGTCCCCAGTGGTTCAGGTCTGGCCAAAGCAGCCACTTCTCAACACACAGCAGATGAATGAGCTCTGTGGAAGAGAATACTTTACTGTGATCTCACATAGGTGGACACTACAAGGAGCTGGAGCCTTCCGGAACTTTCTACCCTGCCCTACGTCCTCTTTTTTCTTGTTTGAGACAGGTATAGCCCCAGCTAGCCTCAAATTCACTCTGGAGTGGAAGATGACCCTGAGCTTCTCATACTCCTGCTTCCATCTCAGTGAAACTAGAAAGTCACCATGTTCACTTCCTATAGTGCCGGGATTGGACCCAGGGCTTTGTGTATGCTAGGCAAGCCTTCTACCAACTGAGCTACTGCCTCAGCTCCCGTGGCTCCT